GTGGGCCAGGAGGGCCATTTTTTCTGAGCCTCAAGCTCAAAAGGAGCTTCAAATTTAGACACTTGTTAATTTTTTTGGCATTTGATAAATTTTGCAACTTGTTTTTATGCGCATCCCTATCGGATCAAAATGTGACACACTCTCTCAGCTTAGAGCTGCAAATTTAAGCATATAAGAGATGTGATTTGGTAAAAGACATATTTTTTGATAACTGATATAGATTTTGTCATATTAAAGAGTTTAAAATGTTCATAAATATTAATTAAAATATATCGGTTCTGATGGCACAAGATTAGACCATGATGAATGTGTCCTCTCAGATCAGCTGATGATATAAACCAACCACTACCAGTGGCTGGTGCTGGATCAAGTGCCTGTTGAAAGGTAGAGAATTGTTACATTTTAGTGTCTTTATAGTTTTACATCTAGTTGACTAAGGAATTATTTATGTGTGAGATTTCCTCATTATTATCTTCATAGGGTAGCTAAAAGAGGTGACTGGTTGGTTAGATGAGCCATAGCTTGTTAGCTTGGCCATCATCATAGGCTTTTGTAGTCTATAGGCCCAAATTCAAGGTGAAAATTTGTGAGGACAAACTTGTACAGTGAGTTTTGTTTGAAAATTTTGGACATTATCCCTCTGTCTGTATCCGTGTCTCTGTTTGCTATATATATGTCATCCCTTTGTCTTCAGTTCAGCCTATTATATTATATCTTGTGTGCTTGAGTTTTGATTCAGTGATAAGGATGTCTGACTGTTTCATTTTGTGTTCTTAATTAGTATTCCTTCATTTTAAGTCTTTTCAGCATCTGTGTACCATTCAGCATTTGTGTACATGTTTACAGCAGAATATTTCAAGTGTGGATAGGCTACATATTTACTTTAGAACATTTCAGGTGTAAATGAATTGAAGAAAGGTATATTTTGTTTGATAATTTCATGAGTAAAATGGGAAAAGAAATTGTTGATTGAGTACTAGCAATTCTAGAAGGTTTTAAGTTAAATTTTCAAGTCTGAATTGGTCAAGCCTATGGCAATGGATCTAATGTGGCTGGGAAGTACAAAGGTGTACAAGCAGTTCTGCTTGAGCATAATTCAAACTGTATTTTCTCCAGCTGTGGAAACCACACACTAAACCTTGTAAGTGTTGACTGTGCTGAATCATGCAAGGAGGCAAATACTTACTTTGGAACTGTTCAGCAAATGTACAATCTCTTTAGTAGCAGTCCACAAAGGTGGGAAATTCTGAAGAAATATCTTCTTGTTTCACTGCATGGGATGTCCAAAACTAGATGGTCTGCACGGATTGATGGTGTTCAACCAGTTGCACAGTATTTGAATTCAGCGAGAAAGGCTTTAAATGAGCTGGAATCTCTCAATCTCACTGCACAGGCTGGAACGGAACTTCAGTCTATTCAGAAGCACATGTCCAAATTTGAATGCATTCTGATGTTATCTTTGTGGATGAAGCTACTTACAATGATCCACCAAACTAATCTGGTAATTGAAGCACACAATGCTACACTTGATGTTGAGAGGGATAACATTGAAAGTCTTATAAATGACATTCAACAGATTTGTGAACAAAGGGATGCGATCCTGACTGAGTCCAAATTAGTAGCACAGAATATTGGCATTTCATCTGAGTTCTCCGCCAATCGCAACTTACCCACTGAATCTGATGCGGAGCAGCATTCTAGGGTCAATGTGTTCCTTGTCATCATTGACTCTATTCAGTCAGGTCTTACACATCGATTTGAGTCACTGCAATTAATTTGTACCTTTTTTAGGTTTCTTTGGCAGTTCAACAGACTGAGTAATGAAGATCTACTTTCTGCAGCTGAATAATTTCAGCAACAGTACAACAAAGAAATCTCAAAAGATCTCAGTGACGAGACATTCTTCCTCAAATGAATATATTCCATGAACTTTAAATTGGATTGCAAGCTGAAGGAATTGCTTCAAGAAATACTCAAACTTGGACTCTCTGGGGTATTTCCTAATGTCACAATTGCATTGTGTATTTTTGTCAATTTGCCTGCATGAGTGGATTCAGGTGAACGTACCTTCAATGTGTTGAAGCAGTTAAAGAACTATCTCTGTTCAACTATGGGACAAGAGCATTTGAATGGGCTCGCCATGCTTAATATCAACTGTGACATTGCACAAAAGCTAGATTTTTCCTCAATGATTAGTGCATTTGCACAGAAAAAGGCTAGAAAAGCATTTGTTAAATAAAAAAATTCTAATTATGTCTCACTCTTTTTTTTGGTGCCTTATTTTGTTTTCATGTGTCATCATTTTTTATTTTTATTATGGCTAGGGGCCTCAAAAGCTGGAAGTGGCCCAGGCCTCTCTGGACCTCTGAGAGGGCCTGCAAAGAAGTGCCACCATTGATAAACACCAAAGTAAAAAGTGATTAGAGGCAAAAGACATCCTGCAAAAATTGGAAGCTAAATCCTACTGAGGAAATACAAAGGAGCAAAAACTCTGGCGAGTCAAGTGTAAAAGTATAATTAGGAAGGCCAAAAAAGAATTTGAAGAGCATCGAGCAAAACTAAAAGCAAACTTTTTAAAAAGTAAACTAGAAGCAGGAAGTACTTTAGTGGGGCCATTAGGCAATGGAGGTGCTAAAGGAGCACTCCAGGAAGACAAGGCAATTGTGGAGAAGCTAAATTAATTCCTTGACTCAGTCTTCACTGCAGCAGATGTGAGGGACATTCACACACCTGAACCATTCTTTTTACGTGACAAATCTGAGGAACAGTCCCAGACTGAGATGTCAATAGAGGAGTTTTTGGAACAAATTGATAAATTAAACAGTAATAAGTTACCAGAACCAGATGGTATTCACTCAAAAGTTCTGAGGGAACTCAAATACGAAATTGCAGAACTATTAATTGTAGTATGTAACCTATCACTTAAATCAGCATCTGTTCCAGATGACTGGAGGACACCAATTGTTAAAAAGGCTCCAGAGGTAATCCTGGCAATTATAGATGGTAAGACTAACTTCAGTACCAGGAAAATTGGTTGAAACTATAGTAAAGAACAGAATTATCAGGCACATAGATTAACCCGGTTTGTTGGGGGAAGAATCAACATGGCTCTTGTAAAAGGAAAATCAGACCTCATCAATCTATAAGAATGCTTCTTTTAGTGGGGGGAGGAGTCAACAACCATGTGGGCAAGGGTGATCCAGTGGAAATAGTGTACTTGGACTGTCAGAAATCCTTTGACAAGATCCTTCGCCAAAGGCTCTTATGCAAAGTAAGCAGTCTGTGGAATAAGAGGGAAGGACCTCTCATGGATCAGTAACTGGTTAAAAGACAGGAAACAAGGGGTAGGAATAAATGGTCAGTTTTCAGAATGGAGAAAGGTAAATAGTGGTGTCCCCCAGGGGTCTGCACTGGGACCTGTTGTTCAACTATTCATAAATGATCTGGAAAAGGAAGTGAACAGTGAGGTGGCAAAATTTGCAGATGATACAAAATTACTCAAGATAGTTAAGTGCAAAGTAGAATCAGGGCTAGCCGCCCCAAGCAAAAAAAAAAAGAGCACCGTAACAGCCCCCCCTGAGTGCCGCACCACACCGCCCTGCCGAAACACCCCCCCGAGCGCTGTGATGCCAAAACACCCTCCCAAGCGCTGCGCCACCAAAACACCCCCCTGAGCACTGCACCGCCGAAACACCCCCCTGAGCGATGCGCCACCCCGCCAAAACACTCCCCCGAGCACCGCGCTGCTGAAACACCCCTCCTGAGTGCCACTCCATGCCACCGAAACAAAAACAGCCCCCCCCCCCCCCGGGTGCTGCCTGGCCGAACCAAAAACAACAACAACAAAAACCCTTGAGTGCCGCCCCGCGGAACCAAAAACAAACAAACAAACAAACAAACCCCTAGCACCCCCCGCCACCCCAAGATTGGTTGCCCCTTACAAGGTGACACCCCAAGCACATGCTTGGTCGGCTGGTGCCCGGATCTGGCCCTGAATATAATGCAAATAATTAGAAAGGGATCTCAGGAAACTGGGTGACTGGGCAATAAAATGGCAGATGAAATTCAGTGTCGATAAGTGCAAGTAATGCATATTGGAAAACATAATTCCAACTATACATACAAAGTGATGGGCTCTAAAGTAGCTGTTAAAACTCAAGAAAGAGATCTTGGAGTCATTGTGGCTAGTTCTCTGAAAACATCCACTCAATGTGCAGTGGCAGTCTAAAAAGCTAACAGAATGCTAGGAACCGTTAGGAAAGGGATAGATAATAAGACAGAAAATATCATAGTGGCACTATATATATCTATGGTACACCCACACCTTGAATATTGCATGCAGTTCTGGTCACCCCATCTCAAGAAAGATATAGTAGAATTGGGGAAGATACAGCAAAGGGCAACAAAAATGATTAAGGGTATGGAACATCTTCCATATGAGGAGAGATTAAAAAGACTGTGACTGGTCACCTTGGAAAAGAGGAGACTGAGGGGGAATATGATAGAGGTCTATAAAATTGTGGATGGCATGGAGAAAGTGAAAAAGGAAGTTTTATTTACTCCTTCACATAACACAAGAACCAGGGCTCACCTAATGAAATTACTAGGCAGCAGATTTAAAACAAACAAAAGGAAGTCCTTCTAAACACAAGGCACAGTGAACCGGTGGGATTCGTTTCCAGGGGATGTTGTGAAGGCCAAAATTATAACAAGGTTCCTAAAAGAATTAGATAAGTTTATGGAGGATAGGTCCACCAATGACTATTAGCCAAGATGTTGTAAGGATGTAACCTCATGCTCTGGGTGTCCCAAGCTTCTGATTGCCAGAAGCTGGAAGTAGGTGGGTCAATAATACATCTTAAATTTATTATTTATGTTACCATAGCTTAATGTAGCATGATATGGCAGTGTGTAGAACCATGTGTGTGTATGTGTGTAAGTTTTTATGAATGTAGTATTACATGAATTTCACAGTAACTGGTTTTTATTGTATGTATATTATCACTTATAAGAAAATGAGGCTAGCTACAGTCAAGTGTTATGTACTGAATTGGCAGGACAACCTTCAGCGTTAGATACGTACTTTGAATTAGTTAAACTCCTCAGCTATCTCGTCCCGTGTGGGAACAGGAACAAGTCTGATATAATATATACAGTGAAACAGCCAAGGCATTCTATCACAGATTGGACTCAGAGACTAGGTATATGCAGTTGTTATAATTACGAGATGTTGACAGTAGAGTGGAGATGAAAGTATAAGTGAGCCTCAAACTCATGACCTGATTGAAAGCAGCCAAAGGTGAACTTTAAATTAAAGTGTAAAATTTAGGTTGGGATTTTCAGAAGAGAGTTAGCCCCCTAAATCCCATTGCAAGACAATGAAAATTAGGCAACAAAATCTCACCAAAATCCCAGCTTCCATCTTCAAAAGGATCATTTGTCACATCAGATCTTGCTATCCCTGCCCAGTGAAGTGGCAGGTGTTTTGGTTACAAACAACAGTTTAACGATTTGATTAATGTTCAAAGGTTTACATTGATATGGTGTCAGGTCACTTCTACAACTAAATATAACCTGCCTTCCCCGTAGACTTTTGTTGTCGTTAGTGATGAAGAAAATTAATTTCACTTTAATTTTCAGAGCCCACAATGTATCTGTCAAGTATTCACCTTTTAATTCCACCCTCTCCCCCCGAAAAAAGGCATAAAAGGAAATAAACGGAAGATCACAATAGTGAAGCAAAGAAGCTGTTTTATGTATGAGGAAAAAATGTAATGCACACAACCAGCCACATGATGTCGCACTCCACCTACGAAGAAATTGTAAGGCAAAAAATCAAAACCGCTCCTCTTTTTATTGAATACGCAGTCAATCAGGGGTTCAAGAGGACGGCAAACATCGTGGCATTGGAATTAGAATACCAATTTCCAGAGGCTTACACATTTTGTATGAATTGGCTGTATATTCGAAGAAATCGGCGTCCGCGATGGCAGTTTTCCGGCGAGACTCCCTGGTAACCAGGCAGCTGCTGCGGTTGGTTCTGTTACACACGGCCTGGGAGGTGGGCAGCGGCCAGGTCCGTTATTCCGTGCCGGAGGAATCCAAACACGGCACCTTTGTGGGCCGCCTGGCCCAGGACCTGGGGCTGGAGGTGGCGGAGCTGGTGCCTCGGATGTTCCGGATGGTCTCCAACGGCAGGAGAGACTATTTTGAGGTAAATTTGCAGAACGGCGTTTTGTTTGTTAATTCGCGAGTAGACAGGGAAGAGCTGTGCGGCCAGAGCCCCCTGTGCGCCATTGACCTGGAGGTGATAGTGGACAAACCCCTCAGGATATTTCATGTAGAAGTCGAGATACAGGATATAAACGACAATGCTCCTGTTTTCTCAATAAATGAATTAAATCTGTTCATATCAGAATCGAGACTGCCGGGTTCGCGTTTCCCACTAGAGGGCGCTTCTGACGCAGACATTGGTACAAACTCTCTGCTAACCTATAAACTCAGCTCTAATAAATATTTTACTTTAGATGTACAAGTGAGAAATGACCATAATAAATTAGCAGCGCTTGGGTTAAAGAAAGCTCTGGATAGAGAGGAAACCACTGAGCATATTTTATTACTCACCGCCACTGATGGGGGCAAACCGGAGCTCACGGGCACAGTTCAGCTGGTGATCACTGTGCTGGATGCCAATGATAACGCGCCTGTATTTAATCAGTCAGTTTATGAAGTAACTGTGTTAGAAAATACAGCTAAAGGGACATTAGTAATCAAACTTAACGCCACCGATTTGGATGAAGGGACTAACAAGAATATTTCGTATTCGTTTGGTAATTTTGTGCCTCCCATTGTAAGAGCGGCGTTTAACCTAAATTCAGATACCGGTGAAATCAGGGTGAAAGGAGACCTGGATTACGAGCACGTTGAGTTATATGAAATTCGAGTTGAAGCTCAAGATAAAGGTCACCAGCCAATGACGGGACAGTGCAGTGTTTTACTACATGTTTTGGACGTGAACGATAACGCCCCTGAGCTGGCCGTGACTTCCCTTTCTCTGCCGGTTCCGGAGGACGCTGCCCCAGGGACAGTGGTGGCTCTTATTAGCGTCTCTGACCGGGACTCGGGAGACAACGGCAAAGTCACCTGCTCCATCCCCCCGAACCTGCCCTTTCAGCTCGTCTCCACCTTTAAGAATTATCACTCGCTGGTGCTGGCGGAGGCCGTGGATCGGGAGCGAGTGTCTGAATATAAGATCCTGGTGACAGCCAGAGACGAAGGGACCCCGCCTCTCTCGGCCAGTAGCAGCATTTTGGTGCCGATCGCGGATGTGAACGATAACGCCCCTGAGCTGGCCGTGACTTCCCTTTCTCTGCCGGTTCCGGAGGACGCTGCCCCAGGGACAGTGGTGCTCGCT